AAAAACGTACAAATGTGGACTGTCTACCACCTAAGTATTCCAGACACGACATAACCGTATTATTTGTCCTTTATAAGTAAGTGTCGTGCTTTCACAGATATTCTGCAACCGATTTTTGTGGACTCACTTGGTTAACTTTCAGCTGTCAATATATTAGTTAAAGAGAAAAAATTGTTTCTTTTTTTTTCAAATTTGCGCAAAACTTCCTAAATTGTTTTAAAATATATATTTCTCAGCCTATTCGCTTTTTTGTTTCGCTATCAGGGCCTAACTTCCTTAATTTAAAGAATGATTTAAGCAGTTTATGTCTCCAAAGGTCATACTGGTTGATGCGAAATTTACCATACTTTAGCATAAGTACATTAAAACTAGTAAAACATTCGTAATCATAATTTAAGTGATTAAAAGTTAAGCATAGCTACCTTTTTTAACAATATGTATTTTTGAAAAATAGTCCCTAGGGGGCAGTAGCAAGTTTATATTGACTCACAACGCTAATATCCGGGGCTAGATTCCTCGCGATAGACAGAGAAATAGCCCTTTGTGTAACTTTTTGCAAATAATTAAAAATAAAATCGCAAACGTCAGGAATGGACTAGAAGTGAGTATCTAGACGTAAGTAAAGTTTGGCATGTTTGGAATGAAATATGTGTCATATAAATAGTAACTGACTTGAAATATGTGCCATATAAGTAGTAACTGACTTGAAATATGTGCCATATAAGTAATAACTGACTTGAAATATTTAGATAATGCATAAGAGCACATTAAAAATAGAGATAATATATGTTGATACATTATACGCAATACAAAATCACGCCACCAAAGATTATCATTGTCAGAATAACAATTGAATAACTTATATATTGGTAAGAATATACCAATTCTTATAACATTTACTAACTGAAATGATCTAGTACTTAGAAAACAGAACATCCAGCCTGCGGAAAATTTAGAGGAAACTGTATTAGACCAGTTCGTTTGAAGAAGCAAATATTAAAATTCCGAATATATTAAAGCTTAAAAAAAACCGCCTATAGACGTCACCTATTTCATTTGCTATATAATTTTATGATGCAGTAACGACATGACTTTTAGCACTTAGCTCCCGTACAGATTATATTGTCAGTGAATAGTGTTTTGTTGTAGCATGTGTTTTAAATTACTCGCAAAGTGCGTACCTAGTTGTGTAAGTTAGTTATTGCAAAAGGAAAGGAATAATTTTCCTGGTAACCTCTTTCACCAACAAAATATAATACAGCAATCGTAATGGGAAACGTATATTACCTGTTGTAGAAACAGCTACCAGTTACTCAACGTGTAAGTTTCTTTACGAAATTGTTTTATTCGGAACCAGATGCTAGAAAAACTAATTTAACTGTTATCAGTAACCATCAATAACCATCAATACCATCAATAACGCAACATAATTACTGTTGGTGCTATTCCTAACGAAAAATTAGTTAACAGGTGCAATGAGGTTCTTAGTTCTTAATAGGTTATATGGGTTTTTACTCATGTGAGCTCAAGAGTAATTTCTTAAATCGTAAAATGAGATATGAAACTTATATTTACTTTGAACTTAAAAAGAAACCATGATTCAAATTATAAACCCCTCTTGTTATTTCATGATTAGAATCCTGTACGGTCACTTAAGTCCTATTATTAATTAGTTAGTATTTTTCATGCTAAACCTAAGAATTAATAAACCACCTGAACAAGCGGTAGGTATTCAGCGACACAATTCACAATAAAAATAGAAAAAAATATAACGAATTCCCATTCGTAGACGTAATGTTTACCAAGACACATAACTTATGTATCTCAAGAGTTTACAAGTAACTCACAGGTAAGGATAAATAACTCGTCTGTACACAATCGCCCCAAGAAAGAGGAAAACACCATTTACAACATTCATTGTGAATGTGGACTCTGATACATTATATAAACAAAGAGGCCAACAGAAGTACGAATCCAGAATCATAATAACCATACAATAATTTACAACAGCAATGTATCAGCAATAGCCTCTCTTGTCAGAAGAACATAGAATAAAATGGAAAAAATAAGAAAATAATCGAATATGAACCATACGCCAGAGAACAAAGATAAAAGAATACTTCTAGATACACCTAACACATAACACACTCAGTCAACCTAGAATAAAAATCAGCAAGACGTGTATATACTTTTTGGAACTTTTCAAATAGTTAACAACGGAAACATAGGATACAAATTAATTAATATCTAATATAAAAATGTCACTAATAATTAATTAGAATTACTTGATCTTAGAGACTGCTTGATATTCGGTTGCCCGGTCACATAGCCTTACCGTAAGTACTTCTTGTGGCATTTGGATTTCAATAATAACACAGGCCTGCGATAGTTTCATTGCCTAGAAATTTTTACATGTTATACAGTAATTCCTGTACGCTAAATCCGAAAATGGTATAAATTTTTCTCCATCGCGTGCATATGTTTTATAAAAGCCATATGTACTTTTACATAAGTGAATCATTTTCATTGAAATCGGGTCGCATTTTGTTATGCTTAAAATGTTGACAACCACTGGCTATAGATTTCTCTAGACCAATCGCGATGTGAGAATCTTATCTATCGTTCTAGAACCAACGAGAAACACACGTTAATAATAAAGAAATGTTCATTGTGGTAAACGAAATAATAATTTGATCTAAGTAAGAGTTTTTTTTTTCTCTTCCCGATTTATAAAAAATCCTTATGTGATAGAAAAAATATGAATATCATTTTCAAAATCTGCGTAGCTGAGTTATGGCAAATCCGTTATTGAAACCAAAACAACTTTTATTAAGTTTAAATTCGCGTGCCTGTGTTATCACTTGTTTTATAAACAATTACAATAGAGTTACATCCAATTCACGCAAAGAAACAAAAGACAGACATATCTCTCTCAGAAACGTTTAAGCTTAAGAACGGAAGTAAAAACCTGATATTGGTTCAGGTAAAGGTTATTCGACAAGTCTGCTCGTTTGGAATTTTTTGTGTTTACGTTTCTCTCCACAATATATTGATAATCACTAATAGTTCTGCATCTTAGTTAATAAATATATTTTTCTTTTACTGTGTTTACTACTATAATACTATCATATTATAATAACACAATATTTATTTTTTAGAAAATAAATTTTAGAGCAGGAAATGATAGTTTTGTTTCTTCTTTCGAAAAATACGTGATCACTTTTGTTAAATGAACAAAAAGTTGACATAAAATTATTAAAAATCGCTGCTGGTGAATTTTCTATTGTATTATCATAATACGCTTTTGTATACACAAATGGTTTGATCTAATAATAATAAGATAACATTTTTGTAAAACCAGGCAAATGGTTAGCGACCATCCATTGCAATACCAACACGTTATTTAAGCGTTTTCTTAAAAATCATATATTCTTTTGGCCTCATAAGTATAGAATGAAATAGCTGTTAGTAATTTTATTAGCTAAAGAAAGTGACTCTCCTACATTAAATGTGAACATATATGTACAAGTACCATCTGAGTGGTCTGTGAGCCGTGTTACACATAAATGTGAGTAATTTAAAGCTGTTCTGATATATAATTATACACAACCTCTAAGAAAGCTCTGCAATGTTTTACTTAATAAAAATCCATTAACGCGGGAGTATTACCTAATTTAGAAATTAATTACCAAATTTGGGTCTTAGTGCAGAAAAGAGAGCACCTCAATCGTGAGTGCTGTATATCAAACATAAAGAAAACTTTTGGGGGGGGGGTTACATTGGGGTGGTAGCTCCGATTATCATTCATTTACATGCCAACCTCTAAATTATTATCTTTTTTTCGGTTTTTAAAAACTGTTAGCCTTGAAAGAAAAGTCAATGTTGTTAATTTTTAAATTAAAGACATATTTCAATACTGTAACTTATTATTTTGCAAATTCTACATCATCCCTGGATTTCAAGTTGACTGAAAACACTTAGCTAAATAATATAAGTAAAGTTTCTCTAGTATAGCTTATTCTAATCCATATCCAAAAACTTAGCCTATTGGGTAACACAATTCCTAAGATTTTGTTTGTTTGTTTTATCAAAGAGAAACAGAATTGGCTATCTGCGCTCTGACGAACAAAGAGAATCGAACCCCGTGTTTTAACGTTGTAATCCAGTGAACTTACTGCTTTGGATTATATTTTCTTATTGTGTTTTCTATCATTATATCTTACAATTACTTGAATTGTCAAAATATCTTTTTTTTTAATAGTGTACATTCAGCGTGGGATTTGTTTGTGACGAATTTCCTGTTCAATAGAGAAATATAACATAACAATAGAATAATGATCCCCGTTTCAAAACTAGTTTCAACGAAGCAATATAAATGTTTTGAAATCGCCTCTCCATAGCCAAGTATGCAACATGTAAACTGTATAAAGAGATTTATTCGAAAGGATATACTACAGCCTTCCAGTTATCTTAACCAATCTAATGTTTCAACCAATACTGATGACAAAATGCAATACATAGGTGTCAGAATATATCTAAAACCATGTATTACAGTACACCAACAATGATTTGGGGTTTGGTCTTTGCTATCTCATATTATGATAGTGATCACTGTGATCTCTTATTTGCCTATATGTTCAATTACATATGTTAAGTAGTTTATATGGTTCTCTCTCTTGGTAAAAGTAATAAAAAAGAACAAAGGTTTGACAACTTATATTTTGCATCAATCATAATCCTCTGCGTACTTGTTAGTAAGGAAAGTTTTTACAATTAAAATTACATTGAAATTAAATTACAAAGCCATTATATTTATTATTCCTAAAGCAGTTGTTTTGATTCTATGTTTTCCCTAATATGCATGCATATTTGACAAATCATAAAGAATGAATTGATATTATAAAATAATATTTTCATTACATTTTGCTTCCATAGAATATTTATAATAAAACGTATAAATATGTTTTGCTTTGATAAATTTACATACAAAATACACTTACCCAAAAGGAAGCCATCTTTACTCCATTGCACTGCTCCTGCCAGATTATTTATCCGGCATTGGAGCATGGCAGTAAGACCTTCAATAACTTCTGTATCAGATGGCTTTACTAAAAAATATTGTTGTTTTGATTCAACTTCTGAAAAGAAAAAGGATTAGAGTGAATGAAGAATGAGTTACAATTTATTTTGGTAAAATTTTCATCGTGCAGTTATTATGGATTATAACATATATCTACAAACTGTTTTCATACGATGCTCAAAAATAAGCTTAAATCATACGTGTTTGCAGGCATACACTATTTAAAAAACCCGAATACAATTTGTTAAATTTGAATTGTTTGTTCTTTTTTTTATTCGAAAAACATTCGTTATACAGCTTTCTGAAAGGAAATTTTTACTTATCTTGTGATTTCCTGTTTTTATACTTATTAATCAATACTCTTAATTCCATCTTCTGGTTTCTTTCATGGGTGCAGCTGTTGCATATATTGCAGTTATATGAACGCAAACTGATTAATTTGCGACATTCAAAAATGTTGCATCTGAAAGCTTAGTATTTATGCAGTTTGCATAATTATCTCAATTCCCTTGGCACAGCAATATGTCTGCGGACTTACAACGCTAAAAACCTGGTTTCGTTACCTGTGGTGGGCAGAGCACAGATAAGCCTATTGTGCAGTTTTGTGTTTAACTTCAACCAAAAAATCCTTAGGCTGTTCCCATATCAAAGAAATAACTTCTTCTTAATATTAGGTCGTCAAGAAATTAATGTTTCTTTTGTTTAGGTAAAAAAAAAACGAACAATATATCAAAACAAAATATTTATTAAATGAAATAATGTCCTGATTAAAGAAATCCCTTAGCTTTGAAGAAAAAAACATGCCGATATCCTCTTTAACACCTTCCACATTTGCATACGTTTTCCCATTAAGACTGTGTTGCAGCGAAAGAAAAATATAGTATTCTGATGGTGCCATATCTGGAGAATAGGGTGGGTGAGGGAGAACTTCCCAACCCAACTTCATAATCTTGTGTTGCATCAAACGTGCCACATGTGGACGTGCATTGTGGTGGAGAAGAACACCTTTCCGATTGACGAGTGAAGGGCGTTCTAGTTGCTGACTATAGATCTCTGCATTAACAGTTCCCTGTGAATTGAGGAGTTCGAAATTAATTACTCCTTTGATGTCTCACCAAATGCAAAGCATCACTTTCTGCAGATGGAGTCAAAGTTTTGGAGTTGGAAGTGGTTATTGTCTAGGACTGAGCCATTGTTTTTGGCGTTTAATATTCGCATAGAGAATCAGTTTTTCATCACTGGTGACAATTCTGTCCAAAAATGGTTCACGCGCATCACGCGCCAAAAGAGACGAAGCAAC